GGAAAGAAATTAACTGAAGTTCCTCCTCTGAGCTTCTCAAGCCTGGAATATTTGTCCCCCAAATGAGTTGATTTACATATTCCTTTCATAAAGGTATTGCAAAGGATCCTTTGAGAAGGATGTGCTCCATCCTCATAGAGGTAGGAACAGGTTACATGTATGAACTGTGGGACTTGGTGTTGGTCCCAAGAATCAAGAAGGTGTTCAGTCTGTGGAAAATTATATGGAGACCTTGTACCACCTTCAGTACCTAAAGAGTCTACAAGAGAGCTGGAGAGGGACTTTGGACAAGGGCATGGAGTGATCAGAGAGGAGGGAACAGCTTTAAACTGAAGAAAGAAGGTTTAGATTGGATGTTAGGAAGAAATTCTTCCCTGTGAGGGTGCTGAGGCAATGGAACAGGCTGCCCAGAGAACTTACAGATGCCCCATCCATCCCTGGCAGTGTTCAAGGCCAGGCTGGATGGGGCTTGGAACAACCTCCTCTGCTGGAAGATGATCTAGAAGACCTAGATGATCTTTAAGGTCCTTTCCAGCCCAAACCATTCCATGTTCTATGGAATCTTGCAGACTGTCTCAAAAACCATGGGCTGTTAAGTTTCAAGCAGGACAGTTGTGTCTCTGTCCAGCTCATCTGTAATATGCATCACCCTGTACATTGTGTCTTCTTACTCTAGGATTAGTATGTGCAGTATAAAAAGGAGATTCCTCTAACCACCCAGATTTGCTGGCTGGATGCAGCCTAGATTTTACAGGGGAAAAGGTGACCCAGAGTCTCAAAAACCATGGGCTGTTAAGTTTCAAGCAGGACAGTTGTGTCTCTGTCCAGCTCATCTGTAATATGCATCACCCTGTACATTGTGTCTTCTTACTCTAGGATTAGTATGTGCAGTATAAAAAGGAGATTCCTCTAACCACCCAGATTTGCTGGCTGGATGCAGCCTAGATTTTACAGGGGAAAAGGTGACCCAGAGAACCATTTACTGACTCTTTAAGAGAGTCTGCAGTTAGGAGTATTACCTATGACATTTTTTTCAAAACATTTGATTGCAAGCAGATGTTTACAATCAAGGGTTTGAAAAGGAGATTTTTGCACTTAGCCTAAGTCCCTGCCATGCTGAAAGAGCTGCACATAACACAATGTGCACAGAGCAAAGGCAAAGAGTTCCACATGCTTCTCGAGAAACATGAATAGGTGCCACAACAGGGATGAACATGGGAAGGGTTTAGTCATCTCTGACTCCCAAAGGGATCTTTACTTCCTTTGCCATTTCTTTCTGCCACCATCTGTGATGAAAAAAGGACATGAGGGTAGTTAGGGTTTGTTTTGCAGCACTGAACAAAACTAATCTGAGAGTCACCTCATTTTGCCTAAGGGTGACACAAACACCTACTTTATTGTTGAGGATGGAGAAAGAGCAAAGCCAGACTCTGCTTTCCCTGCTCAGGATAAAACCCCAAAGGTCAGAGCTAGGCTGCCTGACAGACCCAATGCCAACAACTCCCTGCCACAGCTCGCAAGCTACTTGATCTCTTCTCCAGGCTCATCCTGTCTCTGCTGGATCCAGAGCACCATGATAGCCCACCCAGCACTCAAGAACAATGAGGGAGAGATAGAATGTGACTGAATTGAACCAACACAAATTCCTCTGCAAGTTGCCACCCCAATCCTCATCACCCAAGCTGCCTTGCAACTCACTTTGCCCCTCGTGACCTTTACAGCTTTCAAGACAGTGACTAAAGTGCCTTTCAACCCTTAGGTTGTTCTTGGAAAGGTACAGATAGGAGAGAGTTTTTGTGCTGTATGAAGTAACTTTCTATCCAAGTTTGATCTCAAGGGGAGTAATTACCTGGCCTGCTGGAGAAGAGATTAGACAACAGCAAACGGCCAGAACAATTGAGGTCACCAAGTGTTTCAGGTTAACATCAGACCTTGAAAAGAGCATCAGATAAAAAATTGAACTTGGAACTACTCATTGCTTCAAAAAATCTCAAGGAAGAGCTCTTTAATCATTGGTTTTCCTCATTATGTGGCTCTTGAAAGAGATCTGATTCTGGCAGGGCCATAATGCTTAGCACATGTGCCTGAGCAAGAAGTAGAGATGTAAGAGTTCAATGTTTCCTGCAAAAATCAATCAACAAGAGCCAAAACTACTGAAGAGAGTCAATGTGGGTCATGTGGAGGAGACATGCAACTATATTAAAAAAGTTTTGTACTATGAGGGTGGTGAGACCCTGTCCCAGGTTGCCCAGGGAGGCTGTGGCTGCCCCAACCCTGGTAGTGTTCACAGCCAGGTTGGCTGAGCCTTGAGCAACCTGCTCTGGTGGGAGGTGTCCCTGCCCAGGGCAGGGGTTGGGACTGGATCATCTCTAAGATCCATTCCAACCCCTAAAATTCTATGACTCTATGAATTAGGGTCAGGACTTTCACTCCTCCTCTGTTTAGCCTCATCACATCCCAACCTCCAATAGCTCCAAAACCAAACACACTGTGAAGTGTCTTACACACAATGAGGGAATCATTTTATTAGATTATGGAAGACAGCAGCATTACAGTACAAAAAGTTACAAGAGTAGCAGAAAAAAAGTGTTTTTTGGTTTAAATACTCAGGATTATACTGGGGAACATGAGAAGGATAGTACCCTTTGCTAAACTAACTCCTAACCAGGTTATCAAAATAAGTTCTGAATATTTAGCACAAGTAAAAAAGTTACAACAAACATCATTATAAAATGCTTTAATAAATAGTTTCTTTTCTGAAAGTTTTCTCTTTTTTATTTTTCTTTTTTTTTTTTAAGAACATGTCACAAAAAATATACTAAAACAGATGATCCTGCAAAGCAAATCCTGCAATTCCTGTAGAAAATAACTTCTTCCAACACATTCAGCTTTACATTGCTCCTGGGCCAGAGCTGACGCTCCCAGGCATCTTTTCCTCTCAGTGGTAAAAGTAACTAGGTTTATGCAATGTTATGCCCCTTCAGCAATTCAAATGAACTTAGTTTGCCCAGTTAACAGCAGTAAAAAAAAGCCTTTAAACCAGAAAACCAGCACAGCCTTCCACAACACAGACCCACTGACTCCCATCCCTCCGAGCTTGCCAGCGAGAGGTGAACAAAGCACAACAGAAACAAGAGTGAGGAAAATATTGTTCCCTTCATTAGGCCTGTATTTAAACTCCAAAAAAAATAAAAATACCACATGTAATGAACATATTCACAAAAGAAAAAACAATGCCTCACTATGTGGGTACTGTACAGTAGATGCACCCGTTGTGTTCTTGAGATGGGCTGAACATGGGGAGAAACAAACACTTCTGGATCTATTTACACGAAAGTGGTTATGCTCCTATGTAAATACAAATGACCAACAGGTTCCTAACATTGATTGTATTAACATCATTTTCTAATCTGGACATAACACCCCCCCCAAAAAAAAGGCTTAGAAACTGCCATAAAACCTCCTTTGCTGCAACATAAATTAAAAGGAATGACATGTAAAAAAAAAAAGACCAAAATATTTAAGTTATTAAATCAAATATACAGAGTGATTCATTTAATATGTACATATTTACAGAGAAAAGCACTTTTACTATTAGAAAATAAACTGTGTCAGTTGGGGAACCCAAAGGTCTCACGGTCTCACCTACGTGGGCATGGCAGTCTTTGACAGTTGCTATAGAAAAAGTTTAGTCTCAAGGCACTTGTCACATGCTTCAATACTGCAAGTCTAAAGAAATCCAACAGAAACTAAAAGGCCACTTTTTGGAACCACAGTTGAAAGATCTCTGTAATATTGTCTCATTGTTCCTATTACAAAGTGTGTAAGGCAAATTTGGGAAGGACCTGCCAGAATCCAACGTAACAAGTGCAGTGAGCTGCCATCGGTAGAGATTCAAGGTCATCGAGCAGGTTAAAGTTCAACAATCGCCTCAACCAGGAGGGTTTTTTGTTTTTGTTTTTTTTAAAGCCACCATTAAATTAGAGCAAGTAAGAAAAAGAAATACATTCTGTAAACAGTGTACAGTCCTTTGTAATAAACTTTACATGTATTGAAAATACCTCTCTCCTCCGCCACACAGCGAGTGGGGTCTAGGTAAACTTTACAAAAATAGCAACTATCAAAGATTACTCATTTTCTTTTTTTCATCTGACAGTCGTTGAATAATTTATACAAGGCTAAAGAAACAAAATAAACTTTATTCTTTTTATTTCTTTTTTTTTTTACTCAAAATAAAGAAACTATAAACATTTGACTCCAGGGATTTATTTTTTTTGCCTTTTCAGTCCTCGATGCCAAGCAGAGATGTCACGTTTTGCCCTCCCCAGCAGGCGTCGGCGCGTTCTGCCCACGCTCCACGCACAGCTTCAGTCTCTACTGCCTTCAAAGTTTGATGCATTCACATTTTTTACAGCTCTGTTGTCCATTTTGCCTATCTGATGGGATTTCTTGACTGGGCTGCTCTCTGATGGGTCACACACCTTGGGCGGCAAAGGCTTTGCGAGTTTGTGAGAGAGGAATTTGTCCATTTCCTCGTCTCTCTCCTCCTCCTCCTCCTCCTCCTCATACTCTACATACTCCTCCACTGCATCACAAGTTCTTTTCTGAGGAGCTATGAAGTTTTTGCATTCGTAACGAATGTCTTTGTTGCTGTAAGATCTGTCTATAGGATTTCGGATGGGGTTTAGAGGTGCCCACTGGTTGTTGGCACCTTCTTCTCTGGGAGGACATCTCCTCTCTCGCTCTTTTCTCCTCTTCCGGGTCCACCACACGCAGATGACTATACAAGTCAGCCAGACAATGCTAAACACAGCACAAAGAATCGGAACCAAATAGTCTAGGGGGCAAATGAGAAGAAATAAGAGCCTTGAGTTAGCAGAAGTAGATATATTACCCTGGGCATTTGCAGGAGAAATCTGCCCCTACTTCACTACAGGTTATCCCTGGCAAGATTCTCAGGAGAAAGGAAGGAAGCTGTCATTGCAGCACAGTGATAACTGCCTGAGTGTACCAGCCAATCTGGAAGTGCTCTTCAGCAGCTTAGAGCTGTCCCTGATTAATGAGGGAGGAATGCTCCATTGGAGATATTTTTTCCTCTCCAGCAGACAAACTGGTTATATAAGCAGCATCTTGCTCAAGCACCTGAGTGAAGTTGGCCAGAAAACCTCAGGAATGGCTCCTGAGAAAAAAGGGCCTACCCTAGTAGGACACTACAGAGTGCTGTGCCTCTAAGTCCTTGGAGAAGCACTTGCATCACAGGTGTCTCTGTCAGAAAGAACAGCACTTTGACCATCAAGTCTACACACATTTGTCTATCAGCAGTCTCTAAAACCATCCAGGTTAGACCTATGCAACCAAAATAATCATTCACTCCTCAGGATGTTCCAGTTCTACTCCAGAGTATTGTCACTAGAGATAAGAGTCTTCGCTGCTCCAGGAATAAACAAAAGGACTTGAGGCAATTGCTTTGCTCCACGTCCCCAGTCCAAACTTCAGTACAGAGCTCTCCCAGCCACACAGACCCAGACTATTTCCCCAGAAAAAACATTCCTGAAACTCTAAGTGTGTTTGGACTTTTTTTCTCTCCTGCCTCAAAGACTTTACAGCTAGGATAGAATAACAACTTTTTTCTATTCTTCTTGATAAGCAAAACTTTACACACGGTAAGAGGCAACAAAACATGAAGTGCTTTGCTTTTTGGAGAGAGATTGTCCAACAGCTCTGAAAACAAACATTGCCAAACCTCCACTCCAAGCTCCGACCCAAACAAATTCCCTCATCAGTTCTCCAAGCTTAGAACACGGATCTTGCATTCTCACTGCTAACATAGCTACTGTTTCATCACGTGACCATCGATCCAAGTTTACTTCACAAAAGTTTCTTACTCTTATCCAGAATTGCCTGTAGGCAGATCCTAAATTCAGACTACTTTTGCTTGAATCCTCCACCTGGACACTTGAGCATCCCACAGAAAGGAGATTCTCAACACACACATAAGGTTTGACACCACATTTTATGACAGGTTTCCACCTACCTCACCCAGTTAAAGGGTGACAGTAAACCAAACTAAATCAAAGGGCACGAGAGATTAGTTTACTTCATAACTCCACTAACTAGGGGACAATGGTCTATACTGAGGTCCATATTCAAGTGAGGAGTCTGGAAAGCAATTGACAAGAGAATCAGAGCTCATCCACTATTTTAGGAGAACCTTTAAATCTTATTGAGGCAGGAGGCAAAGTAACCCACACCCTTTTTGCCCATGCAGTCAGAAGAAAGAGGGTGAGGTATGTCAGCATCTCAGCTCAATTCTTCATCTACACAACTGCTGTGCAGGACAAGAGCAAAGTGGACACACTCCTGCAGGGGAGCTGAGGGAATATTTGCCAAAGCTTCAACAAATGAAAGGCATTTCCTAGAAGGGAAATGCAAGGGAAGTGGAACCAGGCAATCTACTAATTGTTTGGACTATGGCTGGAAGATCTTCCAGAAGATTATGTTGGGGAAGTCTAGGGAAAAAGTTGGGACAGTCTCCTAACATTGTAAATTTTTCACTCTGGGGCTTAGTTGAACTTGAGCCTACCAGTGGTCTTCCAGCAGACCTTCTCCTGCCTCCCCCAGGCAGGAACACAGGCATGCAAAATCTTCAGCTGCTTGTTTTGGCATAGCTCTTGGAGAGCCAATACTGAGATAAAGGTCTCTCCAATCACACCATATCCTCTTCAAGGGAAATGAACATTACTCTCTAAGCCAGCTGTGCTCTAGTGAGAAACACATGTTGAAAAGGAGAGCAAAGTTCTACATTATCGTGGCCAAGTGTTGGAAGAAACTAGACATCTTTAACCCTTGGTAAGGTAAATAACACATGAGCACTTCAGGACAGCTTGGTGTCACACTGTCTTCCCTTCCCTGTACTCTCATTCCCTCACAGCCTCAGTGCAGCAGCATCAAGGGCTGAGGTTAGTTGGCTTCAGGTTCATGTAGGAGAATCAGGAAGGATAGGAACAGCACATGAGAACAACTGATCTTGTGCAAGGCTCAGAAGAGAGAACTGGGCTGCAAGTCAGAGACAAAAACATGGCAGAAGTATCTGGGCATGTCACACTAGGAATGAGGTTAAACTAAACCAGCACATGAGCACAGAGCCTTCATTTTGAAGCCACTCGCTCTTCAGTTAGTAACAGCAACTAAAGACACAACATGATCTATCATTTCCCCAGCAGATAAGAGAGCAGCAGGGGAACAGAGAACACTTACAACACACAGAGGGATCCATGGGCAGCCTTACCTGATGAGGAATTGCCCACAACGATGGTCTCCACCTTGACCTCAGTGACTGCCAACATCACAGTGCTGTTCTGCCTCTTGGTGATGGCATTGACGATGGTATTGGCAGCATTCTGGATCAGGCTGTTATCCTGTTCATCTCGGTGGGGCACAAAGGACTAAAGGAGCAAACCAAGAAGTTATTGCACTCACCCAACCATGGAAATGCCCTTTTTAAATCCAGCTACATCTTAATGGAGTTCCCTACGTTGAATTTCCCTGGCAGGAGCTACACACATCACTCTACATTTGCCATGGCACTACCCTGGCTGGCTCTGCCCAAACTGCAGATGCAGTGCCAGACTTGGTGGGTAACACACCTACTTACTAATCCAGTGTGCCTCAAATGAAAGGCAGTGACTTCCATGTCACTTAAACTGATGAGCTCAACTTAGTCACAGTTTGGAGCAGTTCAAGAAGTGGATTATCTAGATGGAAGCTTGGGCTAAGAACAGTCTGCTCTGTTTATACCCTACACTTTGCTCTCTGCATCATGGTTTTTCCAGCACTGGTAGAGACAGTTCAAGCTTCTGCCTGGAGAAACCCTTACTATGAAAACTAACTCTCAGAAACTAAGCCATACACAAGCACCAAGTGATTGGGCTGTAAATGCCTTTAAAGCAAGTTTTTAGCTCAGTAGGGTGAGTTACTCTCACCCACTCAACTTGCACCTTCTTCCATGTCTTGGTGCTTTGCATTTAATGAACATCCTGAAGCAGCCAGAGCAGAAACCTCTTCACAAGACCCAATCCAGCCACCTGCAACCAGTTCTTCTTACTGAGGTCAATGCCCCAAGATGTTTGGCAGAACAGGTAGGCACCTGTGCACCAGTCTGGGCTGAATAAGCCTCTAGAGTAACTCATCAGGAGGCTGTAGTATCCTTCTGTCCTAACAAAACCTGCAGTCCCAGCTGTCTGCCACATAGAAAATTGCAGAATCACAAAAGTGCTTCACAGTCAGACGAAGCCACAGGTTGCACCACCTGCATTCAAGTGAAACAAGCTTCGACAAACCTTCCCCCAGCAAAAACTGACAAGAAAACATTCTTTTGTGCATTAGTATAAGTATCATACTTACAATGGCAACTTCCACTGCATTCTCTGTGGAGTAAGACAGGTCACACAATATTATCAGAGCTCTGTCCCTAGAAACTGTCCTAGTGGCTGGTAAATAGCGAATTTCAGAACAGATGTTCTCTGTGGTGGTGCCCTGTGAGAAGGGAGGGAGATTGTATGAGTTTAGATCAAGGGAAAAATGGTACACAAAAATTAAATCTATTCAAAGTTTTTGCAGTTGCTAAGACCTGATGGAGGCAGCAAAGAGGGCAGCGAGAAAGGCAGAAGAGTGAAGAACAGGGTGTTGGAATAAACAGGGTGTTGGAAAAACAGCTTACATGACTGTCCTAGCACAGTCTGAGCCCATGGTGGAGTGTAAATAGCTCTTCAGGATTCACAGAAGGGAATAAAATATTCAGTGCAAACCCTAATTTTGCCTCACCCTTTGGGCAAACACAATGAAGAGCAGCAGAGGAGTCAGTCTAGTAATGCACTCTGCAAGTTTATAACAGCAAGGAGTGATACTAGAAACCTTCACCTTTTATGCTTTGACATAGACTATATCCCTCCCATAGACAGGTATGGCCAGACTTCTCCAGGAGTTCTGTTCTCACCTGGGGCACTTTGTCTCCATTGAAAATTAAGGTAATCCTCGCACAGTCATTGTCCAGGTAGCCAGAACTGGGCAGACACTTGATGCTGACAGGCAGAGGTTCAGAGGCACTGCATTCTCCCCAGTCTGTGCATGGGGGCTGAAAGCATTTCATGTACTTCTCCTGGCACTCCTGCCCCATGGGGCACTGGTTCTTTGAGTTATCCCAATATTTGTGCAACAGACAAGGTTTTTTTCCACACCACACCTAGAAAAGGAAAAGAAAGTACTGTTACAGCTAATTGCTCTTCTGCATCAAATCCCAACAAGCAATTTGCATAAACTGGTTGTGATCTGCTGCTGACTGGGAAATGTTCATGTTCTGATGCTGCTGTAGTACTAGTAGCAGATGGAGCTGCTCTTCCACTAAATGAGGACACTTTGTACAGGCTGGAGAGTAAAAACTGTGCTAAGATGACCTGAGAAGCCACTGACTGGGCATATCTCCTCAGAAGTTTAGGGATTTGTCCCACATAGCTGAGCTACACTGAAGTTTAAGCATTTATTTTCATTTTGTCATCTAGGTTTCTATATCATAGGAAGAGAAACATCTCCACAAGGATGAATTTCTTTACATTGAGCCCCTGCCAGAGAATGCTGAATATGCTAAGAGCTGATCCACACTGGTGATGATGTGCAGCCTCAACCACACTCCCAAAAGGTAACAGTGTGCTGGGACCACCAAGTCATGGAGGTGCAGCAAGTTTCCAAACACAGCTCCATTCCGGGAGCTGCACTTCAGTGATCCTTGTGGGACAATATTCACCTTGAACATTGTGAGCAGTTTGGGCACCTCAAAGTAAGTAAGATATTGAGTTCTTGGAGAGTGTCCAAAAGAGGCAATGAAGGTGGTGAAGGGCCTTGAGGGGAAGCCACATGAGGAGTGGCTGAGGCGCTTGGGCTGTTCAGCTGGAGAAGAGGAGACTGAGGACAGAGCTCATGGCTGGATATAACTTCCTCAGGGAAGGAAGTGCAGGGACAGCTCTGACCTATTCTCTCTGGGACCAGGGACAGGACCCAGGGAATGGGCTGAAGTTGTGTCAGGGGAGGGTTAGGCTGGAGATTAGCAACTGGTTCTTCTTCCCCCAGAGGTGTTTGGGCACTGAACAGCTCCCCAGGGCAGTGTCACAGCCCCAAGGCTGACAGAGCTCCAGAGGTGTTTGGCCAATGCTCTCAGGTACAGGGAGTGATGGTCAGGGATGTCTGTGGAGGGCAGGAGTTGGACTGGATGATCCTCAAGGGTCCCTTCCAACTCTGATTGTTCTGTGACTCTTCCAGCTCAGGATATTCTATGATTTTATGTAATACTATACAGCTCTTAGTTCAGGAGCTGACAAACTTCTTAAAGCCTAAATGTCAGCAAGAAAGCACATTCCCTTCACTAGGCAGGAAAACCCAAATACACCACATGGATAAGTTGCATTTACCACCATTGGAGATCCTAGTTCCTACCATGTATTGTTATCTTCTGAAGACATCTCAAACTTGAAATCACAACACTGTAAAGGCTCTAAAATAGCATTTCTAGACTGCTAAGTGCAAGATGTAGTTATTTCTTTGCCTACTGTGTGCACTTAGTTTAAAAACAGTAAGATTAAAACTGGCTAGATAAGACCCAGAGGTTCAGTAACTGCTGCTTTGAGGTAAAGAGGGGAGAGAGCCATGTATAGCAATGCCCTGTGTGCTGTTACTGCTCATCTGGAGTCACCCACCTAGCCCTGCCACGTGTCAGCAGCACCAACCTTCACTCTCCAGCTGTGGTGTCTGCACAGGTACCACAATCCCACTGGGAAATGCTCTCTCAGAGGGCTGAAAGGTTTGGAGCACATCCACTAATGTGTTCAACCTCAGCTAAGGTTAGTCTTACTCTAAGTCTCAACCACCAGGATATAGTCCCTAATAAATATACAATAGTTGAAATCTGTCAGGTCATAAACCTACTGAAGGACAAGACAGAAAGGCAATTAATACCAATGGAAGAACCTTCTTCCTTGTGTCCTGTGACTTGGAACTAAAGTTTAACAAAATTAGGAGCTCTAAAACTGCTGTGTAAGCATTAGCAGAGTGAATTATTTCTCCTTCCAAGGATCATTATTCCATTCCAGGTCATATTTCATTCCTGCAACAAGTGTTCTAGAGATCCTGTTGGAGCACGCAGAGACCAGGACAGTAACTCAGGATTGTACAGACAATCCATAAATACTTTTACAGGAAGTAATTTTTTTTTTAAATAAAGGAAATTTAGGGGAAACAAAGACTAACTTGTGCCTGAAGATCAATAAGTGTTTCAGCCAGAAGAACTTCAGAAGACAGGTCCAAATCCTACCTTGGTGCAGTCAATACGTCCATCCAAGCAGTGGCAGCTGTTGCACTCCTGTTCCCACCTGCTGCCATGGGGGAAGGTCATTCCTTTCAGCCAACAAGGCTTCCCAATTCCAATCACTGAGGGAACAAAAAGCACACTCAGACACTTCACCTCTGAGTTAAAGCTGGACAAATTCAAACAACAAAAAGAGGAGTTACCATTCTTTACACTGTGTATAAACTCTAGGCTGGCTAGGCTGTACCTTTCTGGCTTTTGGGCAGAGGTGGATCATAGAATCATAGACTCAACCAGGTTGGAAAAGACCTCCAAGATCATCAAGTCCAACCCTACCATGGTCACTAGACCATGGCACTAAGTGCCACATCCCGTCTCAGCTGGAAAACCTCCAGGGGTGGTGAATCCACCACCTCCCTGGGCAGCACATGCCAATGCCTGAGCACTCTCTCTGAAAAAAATCTCTTCCTAATAGCCAACCTAACCCTCCCCTGGTAGAGCTTGAGTCTGTGCCCTCGTGTCCTGCTGCTGGTTGCCCGGGAGAAGAGACCAACCCCCACCTGACTCCAACCTCCTGTCAGGGAGTTGCAGAGGGTGAGAAGGTCTCCCCTGAGCCTCCTCTTCTCCAGGCTGAACACCTCCAACTCCCTCAGCCTCTCCTAATGGAACGTGTGCTCCAGTCCCTTCACCAGCCTCGTTGCTCTTCTCTGGACCTGCTCCAGCACCTCAATGTCCCTCCTGAGCTGAGGGGCCCAGAACTGTAGCAGATATAGCAATACCTTCTTGGCACCTTGGTCCAATTCTTCCAGGGGGACAAGTGCATCGGTATCCATTTATTTCGTCTATACAGGTGGCACCATACCCACAAGGGGAAGATTGGCATTCGTCAATATCTAGGCAGAAAAGAGGCAAAACTCAATGAAGAGGACACAGAACATTGTAATGAACCATTTACTCAGCTGCAATCAGACAATACCTCCTTGCTTGAAGCTAAAGGACAGTTTGGCTGCAGAATGAATCTCCCAGTGAAACAGTTGTACCATTTCAGCAATAACTTTCTAAGAGACTCCTGGTAACTGCACCCTGACTGAGGTTCTGGTGACCAAAACAGCATCACATGCTGACTCAGAGCAGAGGTGTTGGACAGCTGAAGGTGCTACTAATGCCTTCTTCACATTCAGCCATAGAACTGCAGTCCCACATCCTGTCCTGGCACTAATCTCAGACATTTAGGCTTCCTAGAAAAGCACATGTTCTCATGAAGTTATCACAGTGCAAGTGCTGAAAAATGCACTGTCCCAACAATGCTCAGAAAAGTGACTTACTGCCCATACAAGCCACCACAAGGCAGAAGAATAATAGCTTAGTTTACAACACTTGGAACATACTTTTCTTCATAACCTTGAAATGGAGGGGAGATTAATGTAGTACACACAAATTTAGTGCAAAAGCCTCTTACAAAATACCCTCAAAACAGGAGATTTCAACCTAGAGGTCTGTGGAAAAAGGCAGAGTCCATTCTGATGCACAGCAAGTTGTTATTTCTATCCTGTGGACATGACCAATGATAGTAATTTATGCAGCAGCCTACAAAGGGCAACAGAAACCAAGTTGTGAGCCACAGCCACCAACTGCTTCACTCTGAACCACAACCATTCTCTCCCAAAGCATCTTCTGAAAGGTTTCCTTCCACTGCAAATGAATGCCCATTCCAGCCCCTCAGAAAAGCTGTTCAAACACCAGTTCTTGACTGAGGCACAGCATCAGCTCATCTTCTGTGCTTACAGGGCTAGACTTCAACACTGAGCAAGATAAGTGGCAGCAGTGAGGCTGTTACAAGTCAGCAAAACCATCAGATGTGGAAAGGGCTTTTGGTTCTATTGCAGATTCCTTCAGAACTGCAGTAAGATCAAGTTTCATGCAAATGTACAAGTGTCACAAGTATCCAAACATCTTCAGAGTTTAACTGCTCTTTCCTCCTCTCCTCAGTCTATGGAGGTTTAAGATTCTCCAGCCTCTGTATGTGGAAAAAAGTGACTGGTAACTCTGCTTCTGTATCAACCATAAAAGGCATTTTTGCCAGAGCTACTCCTTCCATCCATACCAGTCTAAACAAGCAAAACAGTCTGCAGTTCCATTCCAAACACACAGCATTTGTCTGTGATGACAAGGAGTCCTATCTGCAGTTCTTGTCTGTAAAAGGAGAGTTCGATATCCCTCACTGGATGTGAGGGCCTAGATACACAATGATCTGTGGTCCTATAGCCAGAGATCACCAAGCTGGTGCTCTTCTACATGTGCCACAGCTGCTCTGCAACCAGAGGTGCTGGTTCCTTTTCTACATGTCAGAATGAAGTCTCAACTTGAAAGCACATCTCCATACTGGTGGAGTGCAAGGACCAAGCCCAAAAGCCTTGAGGCTACAGAAGACTCAAAGTCTGATCTGCCAGAGAAGTAGAAACAAAACTAAAAAGAAGGTGTCTATCCATGCAAGTCAAAATGGTAACATTCCATTAAAAAGCCTCCAAACAAGCCCAAAATACTAAACAAATAGCAAATCCCGCCTAGATTCTTCCACAACGCTTCAACACAGTTTTAGGGTCTGTTGTTCTCCCTTCTCAGCTTCAGAATGATTGCAGTGTAACAGGGTTGTTTTCTAGCTTTGAAAGACCTTGATCATACTTCTCTGTTCTTCAAGTGCCAGCACGAGACTCCTGATGTTTCCATGTGTGATGTTGCCATGGATTTGGGTTTCTGATGTTAAATGGAACACCTACTAATATTTGTCATCTTTGCCAACAAGTGGTTAATAAAGAGAAACATTTCAAACTGCAGTTTTCCTGAAGCAACACCCCAGAAACTCCAGGATGTTCCAACAGAATCCAGCAAGTCTTTGGGGAATAATTTAAGCCAACTCATTTCAGTCCCATTTCAGGAAGACAGGAGCACAAGTTGTCACCATTTACAAGGTACCAGAACTTCTGCTTCACTGTTTGGAATTCAGCTGACCTAACAAAAAAAGAGTCACTAAGTGTTTTTTGTAGAGTCACTAAGGTTGGAAGAGACCTCTAAGCTCATCAGCTCCAACCATTAACCTGTCACTGCTGGAACCCCTGAACCAGATCCTCCAGTGCCACATCCAGACACTTCTGAAACACCTCCAGGGATGGTGACCTCCACTACCTTCCTGGGCAATATCCCAGTGCCTCAACACCACAACAGGGAAAACATTTCTCCTCACATCCAATCTGACTCTGCCCTAGCTCAGCTCAAGTCCATTCCCTCTAGTCTCTCCCTGCAGCCACAGCAGAACACACATCCCCCACCTCTCTCCAGCCCTGGCAGGAGTTGCAGAGAGCCAGGAAGTCACCCCTGAGCCTCTTCTCCAGGCTGACCAACCCAACTCCCTCAGCCCTTGCCCATGTGCTCTAGCCCTTTGCTGTCCTCGTTGCCCTTGGCTGGACTCGCTCCAGAACTTCAATGGCCTTTGGGCAGTGAGTGCCCAAAGCTGAGCACAGCACTGAGCTGTAGGACTGGACATTTCAGCTGATCAGTCCATCAAAATGATACACCCACCCAGGTCTTTCTCCATGCAGGTACTTACTGATTCTGCAGTCAGGCCCAGCAAACCCAGGGGCACATTCACAGCGAAACCAGTTCACACCATCGACACAGATTCCTCCATTGTAACTGTGGAAAGAACAAACCTCTCATCGCACCTGAGGACTCCAGGACAGCTCACTGGTCTAAGCTGAGCACGAGATCCAGGTGTCATGCACTGTGCTCAAAGGCAAATTCCTATTGTCCCTGTTCCCAGGATTTCTCACTGTTCAACAGCTCAGAGCTAAAAAGTCCCTGCTAAATCATAACACAACTCTACTTCAATAGCCTTCTACATTGCTTCATTGGGCTCCAGTTAGAGCTTTGCTAATCACAGCTTCTGCTGCTGGTCAGAAGGATGTTTTACTCCTAATAACAGAGAAAGCAGAACACTAGATAGACAATATTGCTTAGTAAGTCGCCTGTCAAAACAGCAACACCCTACCAAAGTGCATCCATGGGGAAGCACAACCCCAGAACTCAGGGGTGGGGGCAGCACTTTGGAGTGCAGAGAAAGCTCCAACTTTGGCAAGTTCGGTGCTTTTTTCAACACATGAAGCACAAGTTATGGCATCAGAATGTAGAACAGAGAAGGCAGAGATTGTTTACTTCACCCCACACATCAATATTTCCCCCCTTCACCCATAGATATCCACTTCTATATTGGGAATATTCCCATTGTGTCTTCCAAGACTTTAATTCTGCTTTTAAAACACATCTGTGCATAGTAATGGAGCTAACAGGATACTTCATACTATCTAAAATTACTTGTTGCAAACTAACAGGCTTTGATTTCTCATTTTTCAGTCTCAAACTCAATGGCAGATGCTTGAAAAGTTATCAAGTCTCATTAGTTTCACATCACAGCAATTTAGTGGTCAGTCCTGGCGTAGAAACTATACTAACATACTTTTAGCCATTTGCTCCTGAATCAACTCAGTATTGGTTTTGGCCTTTGCTGCTGTCAAGGAATATGTATAAGGCATGAAAAAAAATGGGTTTAAGATATTTTACAGTCTGGTTTCAGTTATGTTAGAGTAGAATGAGCTCTAATCTGGAATGGAAATCACTATTAGTGTGGTCACTTCCATGTTCACAACAAGACAGAACTGGAGTTCACATACTCACCATGGGTGAGGGTTGCAGTCATTGGTGTCTGCAAGAAAGAACACAGACTAGTGTAAATAGTGGCATATTTTATAACAGATAAAACTGCAGTGCAGGACACACTATATTTGCGAAGGAAAGCAAAGTAAAATAGCACAGAATTGAATATTTTCTTCCACACGTGCAAAGAAAGTTCAATTATCATATCCACTTAGAGGAAAAACAGAGCTCAAATGCAGATTTTTCCCTCCCACTCTGAATGTTATGCCTTGGGGGGAAAAGATTAAAAAGTCTCAAAGCTGCAGGTTTAACTGTTCTGGCATACCAAGACAATGAACTGGTTAGGTGGAGCAAACTGCTGTCCTAGGAGAAAAAGGCTCAGACCCTCCTGCCTGCTTTGCCATCTGCTTTCCACTGTTCAAACTGCTCTTTCTGTGAGGATTTCTCTTGCTCTGCACATATTCCCTCAATGATATTCCTAGAGCAGCCTGAGTGTCTGATTCTGGCAGAGACTCGATGCAGAAAGCAGCACGACAAACTCTTCATTCATGACTTGAGCATCGTCTTCTTTACCTACCTCCCACTTGGCATGATTCAGAGGTTTTGGCACATGAAGCCTCTAAACTTGCTTTGTTTCAGTTAGCAGCTCTCTGCCAGACACTCCCAATATCCCAGGGGAACACAGAGGAAGAGAGAGAGAAGCCTTACTCTGTGTGCATGTCCGTCCTTCCCAGCCTTCTTTGCAGATGCACGAGAAGGAATCTCCACTGCCAACACATGTTCCACCATTCATGCAAGGGTTCAGAATGCAGCTGCTGTTTTTAGCTTTGCAAACAGAAAAGGGCTTTCTTTAGCACAGAAAAGGAGTGTTTATCATCTGGGGATGTAGATATCACAATCCTAAACAATATTTAAGTCGACAGCTCAAGGTTTGCAAGGTTAAAACACAAACAAAAGGAGTCACATTGCAGGATGCTCTCACCTGCCTTCACCATCATCCCAGCTCCATTGTTTAATTGGGCCAGGAAATGGTATTACAAAGTAATTACCTATTTTCTACCCCATCTGAGTAAGCATCCTTCAAGTATTGCTAAATTGCTGGTGAGTTACCCAGGTCATTAGGAGTTCTTTGTTATACTAGTACTTAAAGCTCAGGATTTGATTAAATGCTGCAATTGTATCTCAAAAATGTAAAAAAAACTGTCCTAAACTACCTCCATTCCATTTCCTGGCCCTCGTGGGAGTTTGATATGCAGAAAGATGTACCAAGGATATTAAATTCCATCTCCTAACCAAAAATCAGGAGCAGTTCCCTAGAGCTGGCAGGAACCTTGCAATGCCCTGGGAAGAACCACCTCATTCCATTTCTCCTGTGTCTGCCTGCT